GGGAGACGCCCGGCTGGTCGGAGGTTTCGCTGCATCTTTTGAGAGAAATGGACAGTAGAGGTTTCCTTAGGGCTCCCCCCCCGTGAAACGCGGGAAGGAGAGGTCGCTCGGGTGCCGGTTCGGCTCTGTCCCGCCCTTTTCCGGCCAGGTCTGTCCAGGTGTGCACCGTAATGGTGTGTTTGCTTTTTCCAAGTGTCGGGAACAACCATGGCCAGGAACGAGGCCGCTCCAGCATGACCGCACGGGGAGCGTGTGTAAAATCGTGCTGTCGGCCCCGCCTGTCGGCCTTGTGGGGAACAAATAAGCTTGTCTTTTATGCAAGAGGTTATTGGAGGTTGTAAGACACGAGATATATACCGAGGTGAAAGTAATGGAGCCCAGTCAGAGTTAGTTCTTGCCGAGATGCTGTGGGCAGTGTTTGGACAGATTGGGGTGGCACTCTAGCTGTATCTAGCTGTAGACCCGAACTTGTGTTTCCCGATTTTAGTAGCGGCAGCTACTCCTGTCTGTGAGCTGCATAGTGAACTTGAATGGGTGACTTTCTCCTGTTGGTGTTCGACCTCTGGATGGAAGAGCAAAAATGATTGCCAGAATGACAGTAACTGAATTGTTCAACTCTGAATACCATCACCATTTTGATAGTGGTCATGTGAGGGTATCTCCCAACATTGTTGTTCCTTCATGTAGAAAAAAGCAGACAGAGGATTAGATCTGTAACTGCTATATGCTATTTTTTGTCTTTCAAAGTGCAGGCAAGGATAATACGTAGGGTTCTGACTGTTAGGGAAGAAGTGTGTGTATGGGGTAAACCAGGGTTATGTTTTCTCACTACCCTGAGAACCTTCGTGTAATTTTCATTAAATCTGCATATATGCTATATGTTATGGTTACAAACCTGATTACTAAAATATAAAACAACCATGTAATGTAACAAAAGCATGTAGAATGCTCTCATTTTATAAATTTTGAGACAGGCAAGACAAGGACTTGTTTTGCTACCAGAGAGAGACAGTGACCAGCTTACAAGTCAAGTTGACTAGGGAGAGAGGAGCGAGGAGTGATGATTATAGAGGAAAACATTTAAGTCCAAGCACAACTGATCACATCTTTGCAGTGAAACTGTTGAGAAATCCTCCTAGAAATCTGGAGTAGTTGTGACGAGATAGTTGTTTCAGACCGCTGGATCAGGTAGTACTTTCCTCTGCTTGAGAGGGAAAGTGTTTAATTGACAGCACTGATACTAAGTAATTAATACCAGGATGCTTTTGCCACCTTGCATTCTGTTGGTCTATGTATTGTGTAATGTGGTGCTATTGAGTTTGAGCTCCAAACTGCAAGCTAGTCATGATGAATATCTGTTGCCATCATAATAAAGGAAGGCATCTCAAAATTTTGTAGTGTTGGACTTGGAACCCTTCTAGTTTATATGCACTATTTAAAGTGGAAGGCAAAGTCTAAATACTAATCAAGACTGGAAAAGATGGTAAGAATTTGTGAAGAGATTGCTTTTGTTCTTTTGTCTTAAAGCGTTTTCCAAACTGTCATGTCTTGAAGAAATGAGGGTGAATTTTGATAGGATTAAAAATCAACAATATAATGTATAATACTGGACATATAACAGAGGCCAGCTGTAAGGGGCAAGAATCCCTATGTCAACAAGGCAGTAACATAGCCATGATGAGGGTTTAAAATACCTGTCTTCTTTTCAGCCATTTAAAGTTTTGGCAACTGAAACTATAAATGGAAAGGCATTAGAGGCAGATATATACAACGCAATTCCGACTGAAAAGGTGGATGGAACCTGCTGTTATGTAACTACTTATAAAGGTAATAAGGAAGATCCATGTGCTGATTTCTCATGTTGATAGAAGCCTTGTTTTACGTAGTTTTCACTTGTATGATTTATTGGATTACAGCTGATGTGAATTCAACTCTCATAAAACATCTTGACCACAAAGTAATAATTACTATAAACATAGGAGGTATTTATTAAAAGGTGGTATGGATTTTATGCTCTACAATACATGAAGTATGGTTTAAGTGAACATGCCAATCAAGGAACTATTCCAGTTTTAAAGTTTCTTATTAGTAAATCTTCCTTGCAGTGTAGAATTTATGTAATAAAGGGTGTCTAATTTCCTTGAGAAGGATTAAAAGAACTATAGCAGTTGGGAGGAAATAGGAAGACTGTGGTTCATTGCATCACTGGATTTCTTGCCTTTGCCTGAAATTGTAAGGAAACTTTGTATTACACCAGGCAAGATTCTACAAAGAGATTTTTAGATTCATATACAATAATTACTTTATGAATTTAAATAGTGTCTTTGGATATAAAATTTCTCTAGCAACAAACAAGAATTCATATTTTGCCTTTTATGCTGCTGATTACAGTACTCTGCAGGGTATGGTTACCTCAGTAAACTGCTGGTTTTATCCCTCTGGAAACTCTAGGGCAACCATATCTATGGGCCAGGCTGGATCAAAAACCTAACAAACAAGCTGAGAAAAGGTTTAAACGATACTTGTATTCATTGGAAGATTGCAAAGGTTAGTGAAGATTTCTTTCCCTCTTTTTGCAATGTAAGTTGTCTAGTTGGAAAAACACCTCTAGTCTAACACAGGAAATATCAGTGGTCCTGCTCCATTTTTTTTAATGTCATGCTTAACTTTTCTTCAAGAGAGCTTTAAACTAAAATCAGTGGGGGAAGTGGATAACAGCAGGGTTGCAGTACGTAAGACAAGGGTTGGCATGGCATTACCAGAGGGTGGCAATGCTAGTGGTAACATTTACATGCTTCTGGGAGCATGAATGGGTCAGGAGCGTATGTATGAGAATGCACTCAGGAGAAAAACAGGATGAACTGGAAGCATTGGTCAGCTCCCAGAGCTACGATATCATTGGTATTAGTCAGACTTTGTGGAATGAGTCCCATGATTTGAGTTCTGGGCTGGAGAGCTACAGGCTGTTCAGGAGGGATAGGCAGGGCAGGTGAGATGGAGGTGTCACATTATATGTAAGGGAGGGGTTTGGTTGTACAGCCCTTACAGTTAGTGATGATGTGGTTGAGAACTGGGGGAATGGAAAAGAGAGGAGATGTTGTAGTGGGTGTCTACTACCTATCTCCCAGCCAGAGTGTAAGCACTGATGAGTTATTCTATAGGCAATTAGGAGAAATTTCATTGGTAGACCTTGTCCATATGGGAGTTTTCAACTTCTCGGGCATCAACTGGCAATACTATACTGCTGTGACAAGCAGGTCTTGGAAATCCTTGAAGTTTGTAGGAGACAACTTTTTGTCACAGGTACTCAGTAAGCCAGCTAGGAAAGATGCCTCCTAGAGTTGCTGTCTGTGAATAGAGAAGGTGTCCTGATTCAGTGTCGAGGGAGGTTTTGACACGATCCCAAGAGCGAGATTAGGACACAAACAAGGTCAAATGCCATATACCCAAAATAGGTTTTTATTATCAAAAAAGTGAAGAGGGGTAGTGATAGGATAGAATGGAAGGAAAAGACAGAAATAAGGCAAGGATGTGGGATAGGGCTGCAAGAATAGGCACCACCATGGATCCAGCAGCGTCCTGTTGGTCCTCAGCCTTCAGTTCTTTGGTAGTGGGTGCACCCTGAGCAAAATTTTCAGCTGCCTTTTTAAGTTCATAATATCTGCTGATTAGCATATTTTCCCACCTTTAGGTTTTTTTCTCTGGTCTCACAGGTTTTGTTGCATCTAGCTTCATGGCAGGAATGTTTGCCTCTTGTCAGTTCATTAGCATTGCAGGCATGGGGTCTGGCCTACACAATAGAGCCACAAAGAGCTACAGGATGGGGCCAGCTCAGCACACCTCTGCCCCTTTGAGACTTGTCTAAAGAGTCCAACAATGCAGCCACAAAGAAGTGGGGGGGTTATCCTTCAATACACTTCCACTTCCCTGGGTGACATCCCCCAGACCAATTCACAGGCCGCAGCAGCTTCTCTTGAAGGTTTACACAGACACAAGCAAGCTTTGAGACAGTCATATGACATTTCAGTCTCTCACAGAAGGACTCATGAGGGATGTGATGGTAGGTGGCTGCCTTGGCCACAGTGATTGTGAAATGGTTGAGTTTAAAATTTACAGTGTAATAAGAAAAAAGGACAGCAGAGTTGCTACCCTGGACTTCAGGAGAGTAAACTTTCAGCTGTTCAGGGAGCTATTTATCAGAGTACCCTGGGAATCTGCTTAGGAGTCCACAAGTGCTGGTCGGTCTTTACAAACCACCTTTTAGAAGTACAGGAGCAGGCAATTCCATTGTGTTGTAAGTCAAGCAAGTGGGGCAGAAGACCAGCTTGGCTGAACAGGGACCTCCTTGTAGAGCTCCAGAGGAAAAAGAAATTGTATAATCTCTGGAAGCAAGGTCGGGAAGACTAGAGTCTGGAAGCTTTGCAGGAAGATAGAGCCGTGATTTGTATATGCCGGGAGAAGACATGAAAGGCCAAAGCTCAGTTGGAGTTGAAACTAGCCAGTGTTGTTTCAAATAACAAGAAGGGCTTTTTAAAGTATGTTAATAGCAAGACGAGGTCTGAAGAAAACATTGGACCAATACTTGCTGAAGATGGTCACCTGACTAATAGGGATGAAGAAAAAGCAGAAATATTAACTGTGTATTTTTGCCTCAGTCTTTAATAATACTGATAGAGCTTGGACTGCCTGATCCCTTGTGTCAGAGGACCACAAGGGTGGGAACAGTGACTTTCCATTTGTGGATACTGAAATTGTAAGGGATCAGCTGAATGTGAACATGGTGTCTGATGGAATTCATCCCAGAGTACTGAAGGGGCTATTGGATGTTATGGCAGGATGCCTCTCTATCATCTACAAAAGGTCTTGGGAGTCAGGAGGTCCCTGCTGACTGGAAGATAGCCAGTGTTATTCCAGACTACAAAGAGGGCATGAGGGAAGACCCAGGGATTGACAGACTAACTTCAGTTCCTGAAAAAATTACAGAGACAATTATACTGAATACTATTGAAAGGCATTTAAAGAATAATGCAATCACTGGGCACAGTCAACATGGATTCACAAAGGGAAAGTCCTGTTTTCGCTAATTTGATATCCTTCAGTGATAAGGTAACTGCCTAATGGATGAAGGGAAAGCAGTGGATGTTGTTTTTCTGAACTTTCAGTAGTGCTTTTGATACTGTCCCTCACAGCATCCTACTGTACATGTTGTCCAGCTGTGGGATGAGCAGGGTTGTAGCAAGTGGGGCTGCATCTATAACCTGTCACCAGCAGTGCTCCTCATGGTTCAACACTAGGGCCAGTTCTCCTCAGTATATTTATCAATGATCTGCATGCAGGAGCAAGTTTGCTGATGATACCGAACTGGGGAGGTGCTGTTGATGCTCTTGAGGGACCAGATGCCTTGCAGAGAAATTTAGATAGATTGGAGCATTGGGCATTGATTAATGTGATGAAATTTAACAAGTCAAAATGCCAGATTCTGTACCTAGGATGGAATAATGCCAGGCACAATTATAAACTAGGAAAGGAGTGGCTGAAGAGCAGTTGACCCAACCCTGCTGGCTGGCAGCAGGTTCAACATGAGTCAGCTGTGTGCCCTGGCAGCCCAGAAGACAAACTGCATCCTGGGTTGAATCAAACACAGCATAACCAGCTGCTCAGAAGAGGTGATCATCCCACTGTATTCGGTGTTGGTGCAGTCTCACTTTTGAGTACTGTGTGCAGTGCTGGGCCCCACAATTTAAGAAGGATGTGAGGGTCCTTGAATGTGTCCAGAGGAGGACGGCAAAGCTGGTGAAAGGTCTAGAAGGAATGTCCTGTGAGGAGTGGCTAAGGACTTGGGCTTGTCTAGTTTGGAGAAAAGGAGGCTGAGAGGTGACCTCGTTGCTCTCTACAGCTTCCTGAGGAGGGGAAGTGGGGAGGGAGGTGCTCATCTCTTCTCCCTGGGATCCAGGGATAGGATATGTGGGAATGGTTCAAAGCTGCACCAGGAGAGGGTTAATCTGGACATTAGGAAGCATTTCTTGGTCAAACACTGGAACAGGCTTCCTAGAGATGCGATCAGTGCCCAACCCTGTCAGTGTTTAAGAGGCATGTGGACAAGGACCCTTAACCTGCTTTAACTTTTGGTCAGCCCTGAATTGGTCAGGCAGTTGGGCTAGATGATCATTGTAGGTCCTTTCCAACTGAAATAGTCTATTCTATTTCTTTTGCTCTAGTTTAAATATAGTTTAAGTAGCTATTTTTTAATCTTAATTTTGAACTTTTAAACTACTATGGTTTAAAGCTCTGCTGGGACCGGAGACCACGTTGCTGTTGTCCCTCCCCCACCCTCGGACACAAGTAGGGCACAAACCCCTGGTTAAAATATGAAGAAATTTAATACAACAGTGTAATAAGCAATCTGAACAATAACAATAGCAATGATAACAACAATAAACAGAATAACAATAAACAAGACAAAAGATATACAGAGAAATACCGCAATGGTTACAGACAGCTCGCTCATAATGCTCCCCTCAACCAAAGCCACAAAGGAAAAAGTTCCCGTGCTCCCGCGCCCGGAACTGACCTCAGCATGGTATGAATAACCCGGCTGGAGATCCCTTCCCCCTCTCTTCTGGGGAAACGTAACCCTATCCTAGCTGAACCAGGACAGCTACTTAAAGGCTACTATGCTTCTTTAAACCCTCCTGTTTGTAGACTGCTTGAGTGTGCCAGATGTTGGTGCTTGTACAAAGTAACTGGGACTGCTGTCTGTAAAACAAGGTTTAGATCAATGGTATTTTAATACTTGCGTTGAAACACTATAAAAATGTAAAATTGGCTAATAGTTTGCCAAAAACTAAATGTCACATTTATATGTCTAGAATTTGTTTGGAATGTTAAAGAGGATTTCAAGCCTGTGCCAGATACCTGGATTCCAGCAAAGGACATAGAGTTCTCTAATGGCAATCCTTTGCCTGATGAAAATGGACATATGCCAGGTACTTATGATGCAGTCCAGGTAAAATTGAGGGGGGGGGTGGTGTGGTGTGGTGTGTGGAGAACCATTTTTGAAGTGAGTTAGAATTAAATCCAGAGTTAAAGTAGTAGTTAACATACTTGGAAAACAATTGGGATGTCACTCATTCACTATCCAGAAAGGCTTTGTTTTTCTGTCATGTTGAAAATAATTGCAGTTTTCTGACAGATTTACAGGGCTTCAGCTTAAGGCACAGGTGTCATATTTGCATTCTTGTGGCATTTCTCTGAAATACAATGCAGTTTTTCTTGTTACTTTGTACTCAACTGTTGTTTGTTTTTGTTTTTGTTTTTTTCAATGCATGTACAGTTCTAGTATGCATTTGATAATCAGGTATTTACTTCTGTAAAATGCAATGTTTTCTCATAGGTTGGGTGCCTGTGGAGAAAAATAGTAAGCAGTATTGCTGGCACTCATCTGTTGTAAATTATGAGGCTGAAATAGCACTGGTATTGAAACACCATGCTGACCCAGGGCTTCTGGAAATCAGTCCAGTGCCATTATCAGAAATTTTGGAACAAACATTGGAGCTCATTGGGACTAATATTAATGCAAATCCATATGGTAAGTTTGTATGATCTGTTCTTAAATACATCTTTAGTCATTTTTTGAGTGAAAACTGTACTTTTTCTTTGTGTAAGTTTTAAAAAGTTCTACGGAAGCAATGTAACCTGTTCAGAAAGGAAAGGGCTAGCTCAAAGAACTCTCACCCAGTTATGCCTATTAAACCTCCTTCCACCTGGATGTTCTTTAGGAGTTCTCTAAAACTTTGCTTTAGTCTTTCAAAAAATATTTTGGCTGGAAAAGTTGTTTTTAAATATTAGTATTAAAGTATTTTAATAAGATGGTTTGTTGGTGACTTTTTTTGACTTGGTCTTTTATACATTAAAGTTGAAAATTCTATGCAGACTTCTTATTTTTTGAGTCCCTAGAGTTAGTCATAAGTTGCAATTTTTAAATTATAAAATAAATTGAATATTTTTTTAAGGAAATGTAATTTAAGCTGAATTTGGGTTATGGCTTCTCCCTCTAAAAGCTTTATAATAAAAAACCAATTAGGTATGAGTGAGTTCTGAGATTTGCTGTTAGGATAACTTGCAAGGTTGTATAAGAAAAATAGTTTCTGGTCTAAGCATTTCCTCAGAATGTAAAGGAACTGTAACAAAAAATTCTAATAGCTGTATTCTTAGATGAAGATTTACTTTGAACAATCAAGTGAAGAGGCAATGCATTTGTTAATGGTTGGGCTTAAGTATGAATCCATATTCATAAGAAAGTATGCCAGATTTTCAGGAACTAAGATGTTTGTGCTATTGATCATGATCTGAAACATGACTAATTTAGCTAAGAGCTTTATGGTTACTGAGGAGGTGACCACAAAGACAAAACAGATAACTGTATAAATCTGTCATGTTTATTTTATATAAATAAAAAGTTAAATGAGGGGAAACAGATACACGATTAAGTATCAAATGTATTTACCTGTTCTTAAAGGCAGGACAATGTTATAGTACCTAATAGAAGTCTACCTGCTTTTAAGATAGCTGTAAAAACAGGAGAGGAAAAACTTAAGTTACCATATGTAACTAGCAGGAAGTTTTTTGTTTCTTGTTAATATAGGATTAGGAAGCAAGAAGCAGCCTCTACACCTTCTTGTACCACATGGAGCATTTGAGATAAAGAATCCTCCTACTCTGAAACAAAATGACATATTGTCTTGGTTTGAAGGCTGCAGTGAGGGTAAAGTTGAAGGAATTGTGTGGCACTGCCATAATGGGTGTTTAATCAAGGTAAATATATAGATGGACATGTGGAAAGCACTATAATAATTTATAGTATGGTGAAGTATTGTGAGGTAGTCAGTTTTTATCGTTCTGCAAATTCTTTAGTAGTAAATGTTCTAGCAAATCAGGTGATTGCAGAATTAGTCAAACCAGTGAATCACTACACTGACAACATATTAAAACTTTTATTTATCTACATTATGCTAATAAAGTAATTGAGAACATAAACCAGTATTTTCTTGCATCCCTATATAGGAATCACTCAACATTTTAAAGCTTAACTATTAAAAAAAATTAATTTCTTGTAATGTTGTAAATAAGGATATGATTTTTGATTAATTAGATTAATTAATTTGATTAATTAATTTCTGAAGCTGTGGAGGACACCTTGGTTCTGGTTTGCCTTTTGTACTTCATTGTTACTCAGATAACTGATTAATGGTTGTAATTGCCTTAATGGAGAGGATCCTAGAATTAAAGCACCCACACCCCTCCAAGTTGAAAACTGTTGGGCTACTATATCAAAATCTCTAAACTTACCTTTTTTTTCTTTTTATTTTAGCTCCATCGGCATCATCTTGGTTTACGCTGGCCACTTCCAGATACATACCTGAATTCTCAGCCTGTTGTAATTTCTTTTAATAGAACTAAATATGACTGTGACTTTGAACCAAGAAGTTTGTTTCACTATTTTTCAAACTTGGATGGTCAAAGATTTGATAGACTCAAAGATATAAAGTTTGATGCTTGAACTGATTTTTCTCTTTTAATTGTTGCAAGTGCTTCATTCCTTTTATTTGTGCCTACCACATCACTCTTTACAAATCATCTTCTGGCTTAGGTAGCAGGCTAGGTACTGTACGATTTAAATCTTTTCCTAAATGATTAATTTTATATAATAGATCTGACATCCAGCACAGACATCTAGCTTTCAGCATGTTTATTTTCAGTTCTGAAAAAACCCTAACTTCTGAACCCATTTCTGGAATCTGTTGTAATTAAGTGTAAGTAGTATGTTGTCTAACACTGGCTGGTCCTAATAGCTTAGCTAATGAATGCAGTCAGCTTTCAAAAGTTCCACAGGTTGCACTTCTATAAATGTAATTGTTATGACAATGTTATATGTAGGATTCAGATTTAGGATCTAGTTGTTCTTAACAGTAAAGGACATATTTTAGGTGGGACCAGAATTAGTCCTGTTTTTTTTTTTTTTTTTTTTTTTAAGTTGTAACAATTGCTTTTTGGGGAAAGCTTTTCACTGGATTATTTAATTGGTAAGATGCAGTATTATGCTACTATCTGAAAACCTAATTAAGCTGTATCCTACAGGTACTTCCACTATTTTGGGATAAAAAGAGTAAATAATATAAAGTATAATAGTTTTATATTAGGAAACTTTTATCAAAGACATATTAAGCAAGAGTGCATACAAATAATAAAGGTGAGAATGCATGATCATTTGGGTTGGCTTTATTTTATCTGTGCTATAAAAGTATACATCCAGCTATATAAAATATACAAAATGAAAAAACATTTATCTACAAAAATACCATTAGCTTGGCTGAAATACTATTAACTTTATTTTCAATTCTTTACTCTTGGATTTTCTAAAATTGAGGTAAAAACAACCTAGGACATAAGAACAGACATCCAGCATGCTGACCCTGAGTACATAGTTAAGAAGTATGATAGCACAAGACAGCAAGAACAAATTACATATTCTTATCGATCTGTAACTTAGCATACTTAACACGTTTTAAGAGTTTCTCAGCTTTTAGGATAAGTCTGAGGTTTCAACTTCACCTGACACCTGTGTATTACCAAAATTACTGTTCTGAATGAAAATATATTACTGCAAAGGAGTTGGGAGAGGAAAAACTCACTGTTATTTTGACTAGTGTATATAAACACTGACCATAATCTGTTGATCTGCACTCTTGGGTATGTGCTAGACTAATGGACTTGTATAATTCCAAGATAAAACCAGACAAATAAATCATGTACTAGCCCCAGAGTTTATTTTATCGATACTGGAGATACTAAATGCTAGCGTGTTCAACAGAAATGTTGCCTTGACTATGCACTTGAATGGCAAACTCTTGAGAAACCTGCTTTAATCTCTCTTCTAAGATAATATTTTTTTTTAATTCTTCATTGTAGTTATATTTCAGATCCTCCATTTCTTCAAAAAAGGAAGGGTTGAAGTTTTCTAGTTCTCTTCTCAGCTTTTCTGTTTCTTCCTTTTAAAAAGAATGAAGGAGTACTACCTTTAATACAGAACTTAGGAAATACATGTCAACAGCATCTTTTTTTTCTTTAGGAGGCCAAGAGATGAGAGAGTAAGTACATTCTCTCTCAACTCAAAAATCTACCCAGGAACAACACATTCACTAACAACAAAACAGGCTTCATAAAGGTAATGTTTAGAAATTGACTTTGTCATTAAATATTACTTTAGGTATTAAACAGGTCTTTCAAGCTAACCATAATTTTGCCCATTATCTTGCCTGGGATGATCCATGCAACTCGCCTTTAACTGCTGTTTTTCCAACTCTGAGGCTTTCAGCTGTGTCTGGAGGTCAGCTACTTCTGTTATTAACTTGTCATTTTTATCCTTCTCTACAATTTCATTATGTCCTGCAAAAATAATGGTGATTTGTTATGAAATTTAAGGTAACAAAAATCAATGACACAAATTATCTTGTTAGAGTAATTCTGCATCTCCTGAAAGCTGAAACAGTTAAAGTGTGTAAATCCAACTGGGATCAGTAGCCACCAAAAATTCAATCATCTGGGTTTTTTTTAGTTCTTGCACAAATTACATGGTGGTGTTTCATTCCTGTGATTGAATGCAATACTCCAAGGGCCAGTTTTTTAAGCACGCTTCTGAGAAATATGACATGTATATTTCTCTGAATTAAATACAGGAAACTTGGAAATAATATCGTATAGGGATATTGTTAGTTGTATTAAAAACTTCAAGAGGGTTAACTTATTTTTTTTCACCATCATATGGCAGTATGCTGCTCTATAGTGCTTTGCTTTTCCCAGGGGACTGATGCCTGCTAAGTCTTAAATCATTCACAGAGCTGGTATCTGGAAATAGACGCATTCTCTGGCAGCTTGGACCTGAAGGCAACTTTGGGTAGGCAAAAGGGTTTCAATGAATCAATTACTGACATCTTACAAGCAGTCTTTTAAGGTTTGTAAAGTAAATGGTGGCATAAACTATGCATCTTCTTGGAAAGGGAAATCTTACAGAGATTACAGCCTTTTGTTACTCTCATTATGGAGCTCTTTACTAACACTTTAAAAAACCTGTATAACTACGCAAAAATCCAAGACATTAGTCTGCTCCAGTTTACACTACTCTGGCATTAATATAATTCAAATAATTCTGTGGATTTATTTCAATTTTGCACACACTTAAGTAAAAATAGTTTTAGGCCTAAAATACAAGATCTTTATTTAAGGTATTGAAAGTCATTACCGGCTGTGGGACCTTCACTTGTATATGTGTGTATGTGGTGCTTGTCATCCAGCTGGCGAGCTAGTTGTGCTTTTTCTTTCTCTAATCGATTATTAGTTAATCTGAAATATAAAACGATTTTCTTATTTTTTGAAATTACTATTTTATAATATAAATTACATAGCTAAAAAATTGCAAAGGCCATTTCCTGATCATTCTTATTTTAGGTATATTGGTTGCGGTATTTATTTAGCTATGTAAAAGTGTATTACCTTAAAAGCTGAAGCTCCCTGATAAGACTTTGCTCTGTCCTTTCACCTTCAGGGAAGTGTTTGAGAAGCTCAATCTTGAAAGAAAAATTAAGAAATTTTTACTCTTAAAAAAACAGTATCCACAGATAATGCAGTTCAGATGGAGTCCTCTTTGATACAGGATTAAAAAATAATGAAAATAATAAAGATGTAACCAAGTACTAGCTTATCACAGAGAAGAAAATCCAAGTCTTCATCTATTGAGTTTCCATAAAGCTAATTACCTATAGGCATTTTAAAGTCAGTATAGATCATTGCTACACATTTCAAGAAGGATGAAGAAAAAAGTATTCAAAAGTTAGATTTACAAAGAAAGTTAAACACATAGCTACATTAGCATAAAATTTACACATATTCTTAAGGAAGTGATATGCCTATATTATTTAAGTGCTTTAAAAAGACTACTGATGTGCTTATTTGCATACCTAGGTGTCCTTTTTAAACATCATAATATGAAAAGCCGGTGATTTTGCAACGAAAACCCAAATGTGTGTTATGTTGACTAGAAATGACCTGTAGTTTTAAGTTAGAATAGGTCCCTGACCATAGAGGGAGTTTAGCTTCTAGACATGCCTTGCAGTAGAAGCTGAAGGAGAGAAAAATTAATGCTTTAAATATGAGACTATATATGGTTTTTGAATGCAGTGACGTTAGGAACTTTTACACGGCTACTGTTAGTGATAGGCTTTTGTTCTATTCCTACATAAAATAGTAAGGATTTGTTTTTTTTCCACAGTCAATCTTTCATTGAAATGTAGTTAACTTTGACAAATTTCCTTCATCAGTATTTGAGACACGAAAGAAACTGGAAAGTGTGTTGCTCCAGAGTAATACCACATAATTAATTACTTTTATCTCTGTGTTAATTTTACTGCTGGCATATACTTCATATTAATAATGCTGACTTTAGAAAGGGGAAAACAAGCAAAAAGTAACATTGTTTTAGAGGACTCAATTCCAAGTTCTGTTGAACACATTTACTTGCTTGCATAATATATATGACTTCCTATATTGAAAATTGTGTATTTGATACCTTACACTGAGAATGGCAACTGAGAAGATGGAAGCTAATCTAGGTGGATAGTCCTATGGCTACATCTTTGGAGTACTACTTCAAAAGCCAAAATTTGATACATCTTTTCAAAGGTACCTGAGTTTAAAACACATCAACTCTTCCATGTGTGAAATAATATTTGTAAGGCTGCATGTAAGAGGCTATACTGGAAACAGGCATGAAGATTCCCCTTAGGATAGCACAGTCAATCCCCCCCAAAAAGATAGGGAAGGAAGAGGGAAGTCCCTGCAGCAAAGTCGCTCTGCATAACAAGCTAGAAAGGTTTTAAGATTGTTTGAAGCATCTGTATCTACAGGCTTTCACGTGATCAATAAAACTATCATTTTAAAAAACCTACAAAAGAATACAGCAGAAAAAAAATAATTTTTCCCAAAGACTTCAAGTCAAGAATATATAGAGATAATAACTGGTAAACCTCATTAATTGGCTAAAATGTGCAAATGTACACTTATGGCAACTAGGACTGAAAAAAACTGTAAAAGCATGGATTAGAGAAAAAAAATGTACTCTTGCCAATATAGACATTAGAAAGAAATTTATGAATATTAAGCAATCTATTCTCAGAGTCATTTGGTTAAGTTTTACTCACTTGTTCTTTTAGATCTTGTAAGTTTTTATCAGCATTGTGTTCACGTTCTGTTGCTTCCTGAAGCAGCCGTTCAAGGTCAGCAATGCTTTGGGCTTTTTTAGCAATATCCATTTCCATTTCCTTCAACTTAGTTTCATGCACCCTGGTAGTATTTTTATTTAGAAAAAAAAATAAGAGCAAAAGCTAATACTTTTGCCAAAACAGATTAAAATACCTTTAAGAGATTAAATGCCATAAAATGCACCCTAAAATATACTGGGTCATTGGCCTTGAAATGATCACTGGTCTTATAAATAAGTAATTTGAAAGAAACATAATGAGAAATACATTTTTA